AGAGAATGTGCAATCCATCCCAAATACAGTGAAAAGTATGTATTTTGCACTCAGTCTAGTTAGAATACTCTTGAGCATGTTGATATGTTTTTGCACACAAACGAAACCCGGCTGATCAAAACAATTACAGTGCTACATGAAAATGAAGTGAAGTCAGAACCTGGCCGGATTGAAGACGTGTACCACAATATTGAATGAGAGATTGCATCATTCCTAGATCTTACTCAGGGCGAGTGGAAATCACATTTATAAATAAACATGCATTTAATATGCCTCATCACATTGCTGAGATAGGTTAAAAGGTTGAACAGGATTTTTACCATGAACTTTTTGACAGAGGAAACACCAACTGAGCCAGGCTGACACCTAAATGTGTGATGCCCAGGCACTGAAAGCATGGCTGTGATAATTTAGGGACATAACTTAGGGACATAGGGCAAAATACAAGAAGAAAAATATAATCTATAGCTACTTGTTTTCTCTTGAATCAATATTTTATCTTCAATGAAGACAAACTAAAAACACAGGAACAATTGACACTGGAATAAGGCAATAAAATGTTTAAGCACTGTAGGACCAATGTTCCATCGCATCTTAGCCTGCAGCATCATTTACTATTTTACTTTAACAACAACTTGCATTTAAATTCCAGAATCCCAGACATAGAGGCTGGAAGCATGGTCTCCAATACTGGAGGGGGCGGGAGACACGCAGGAAGCCAGAGCAGCTAAGCAAATGGGAAGGTTAGTGGAATAGGGTATAAACAGGGCAGAGAGATACGAAATGATTTATACATAAGTAGAGCATCTTGAAATAAACCCATACCACAATAGGGAGCCAATGAAATCTGGCAAGGAATCGGGTGATGGCACCGAGGTTTGTACTGGTGAGGATACAGCAGTGAAGTTTTGAATTAATTGGATTTTATGAGTTTTGCAGTGACGAAATCATTGGAAAAATCAAGTCAGGAGGTGATAAATGCGTGGATATGGATATCAACTCTGTAAACTGTGAGGTATGGTCGGAGGTAGGCAATGTGGAGGAGGTGGAGGAAAGCAGTCCTGGTCAGGAACCCGATGTGGAGTAGGAAGGGCAGCTGGGGATCGAACATGATGTCTAGGCTGAATACAGGTTCAGACAGTCAGGCCTGGGCTGGGGAGAATAAGGAGGTTGGAGCCACAGGTGAGCGGATGTTGGCAAGAGCCAAGGAGTATAGCTTCTGTCTCGTCGACATTCAAGTGCAAAAAGTTGGCGCTCTGCCAGGCCTTAATGTCTTAATTTAGAAAACCTTCTTTCTGTGGAAGTGGCAACTGTCCTGCAAATTAAGACTGAATTTGTACAATGCTGCGCAATATTACATTTGAAGGCAAAATAGTCTCATGGGGTTAATAAGAATATTGTCTTGACAAGATAAAAATCTTGCAATATTGTATTGGGTGAGTTTGGTAGCAAACATTGATAAAAGCTAAATATTTATGGAAAGTACCTAATTTATTAAATGGATTCTGCATTTTTTACTAAATGAAGATTATTATTCAGTCATTTACACGCACACACAACACACACCTTTTTAAAAGGGTAGCAAGTTATGGCACTATAAATATGCAAAGTAAATGTACGTACAATAAAATCCCAAAGAAATTAAGCATTTTCCCCATGTGTTTAGCAAGCGTTCCACAATACTGTGATCTATTCTTCCCAGTAAACCCAGAGTGAACCTTCAAAATAATTCTACAGATGTCTCCAAAAATTCCAAAGACTCAAACATTACTTTTCAGTTGATTCTTTTGCAGAAAAAACATTTCTTTGAGAAATAATTTACTTTTGCTTTACTTAAGATTTAATGAATATATTAAAATTCCATCAAGTCTTAACCTGTGAGACTATTTTGCCTTCATATACAATAGGTGTTTATATAATAATAATAATAATCCTTGCATTTGATATAGCGCTTTTCACGTCAGGAGGACGTCCCAAAGCGCTTCACAGAACACACTGTAAAGTGAATTGACTGTATATTTGTGGGCGAACGCGGCAGCCAATTGCGCACAGCAATGTCCCACAAACAGTCGTAGATTGAAAATGACCAATTTATTATTGTTTTGTTTTTTTGGACGGATTATTATTAGGCTCTGTGTGGAATAAGGAAACTTGCCCAAGGTTTCGCCCTCTGCCTGGAATTGAACTCAGGTCTCTCGCTTGCAAAGCGAGTGCTCTAACCACTGAGCTACAGGACTCCACAGTTCTTGGAATCAAACACAAAATGGGGCCTATTATGGACTATATGTTAACCATGTGTAATAGTAGGTGCACAGGGGTATTTGATTCTCTAAATAACCATTATTGAAAAGGATTAGCTCATTACATGATTGATAAATCCCTTTAGTTGGTTCATCACATAACTAAAGGCCTCCATTATTCTTCTGTATACCTACATTTACACATATTTTACACACGGTTCACACGCATCACATAGTCAATCCTAAAGTCTTCACAGAAGCACGTTGAAATTATCGAGACTAAGCCACCTTAGACTGATACAGAACAAAGCCTTTCCATCGCTATATTTGGGATTTAAAAGAAGTATTTCAGGTATTTTGTGATTAGTTTTGTATAATAGTCCATACAGCTAGAATATGTGAACTTTACATCATTGTACGAGGACAAATATGCTGGAATAAATTTGAATTAGTGAGAACGGGTACGAACAACCCAGTCTGGCTTTGTATATTAACACACTGAATAATTAATGCACTACAGTTCATCCAATATTTCTAATTTGGGGAAATGACTTCGTTTTTTGTGTTTAAACAAAAATATATTTTCAGAGACTCAGGCAACACTTCTATGAATAAATGAACTGCCTTGACTGGAGTTAAGCCTCATAGATCCAGAAGGTACCAATAATAACAACTTGAATTTATTTAGTGCCCTTCATCGGGCAAAGTGCTTAACAGTGGCAGGGCTTAATGCTGAGCCACGGAGATAGCGGGAGTTACTGTAGGTTGGGTGGAAGTGGAGGGTCTTCCACAGGGGAGAGGGAGTGAAGTAGGGAGTTCCAGAATATCTGATGTAGTGGCTTAAAGCATCGCCATTGGTGCTGGAGTGGAGGGGACAAGAGACATACAGAAAGCCAGAGCCAGCTGTGCAAAGGCAAATTTGCAAAGGTAAAGAGGGAAGGAGTGGCTTCTGACTTGATTGTTTAATTAGTAAAGATTTTGTATCATAACCATAATTTTCCTCATTCTTTGTAAGAAGTTCAAACAACTTCTATCTATAGATATTATCTTCAACCCATTGAGAAAAATCATCTGTATCCTATTAAGAAATGTGAACGTTCTTCCCCTACATTGTACATGTAAAGCCTTGTTCTGAATTCCATATATGGTTATTTCAATGGAAAAACAGCAAAATAATGCAATATGAAACATCAATTAACTCCAGGCATTTCCAAGTCAGAAACAGAATCAAGGCATTACAGATGAATAGCAAGTTTACATGTGGAGTTTAAACTTCTTTAGAGAACAATACTACTACAGTGGAACTTAGTTATAAAGTGAGTGGTGATTGGGATCCATAAAATCACAACTTGAGCTATAACAAGGCACGATAGCAAGTTCACTGCACATCGGCATAACTCTTTCATTTCTCCAATAACAAAACTACAAAGTTAAAGGTAAAACTTTGATACCATGAGAGAAATACAGTAAAATAATCCCTGACAGCAAATGATGAGCTTTGAGTAATGGATAAAGGAGTAAAGGTAGTGCATGTGGTCAGAAACAGGGAAGCTGAGAGTACAGGAAAATTGCAAAAAATGGAGGAGGAAGGAGTGAATAAAAGAGAGGGGAACTGACTGAGAAGGTCAACTCAATGATGATCATTGAGAAACCAGATAAAAGCATTGAGGATATGTCTGGATCTGAAGCATCTAAACAGAGGGAGATCAGAAAGGAGCAATTTTGTATTCCAACAATTGAGATATTCATGTGAAATTGGCAGAAGCAAGGTATTTTTTAACATTAGACTGGTAGTATTGACAAAAGAGAGCTCATTCCTGACCACATTTAATATGTCATTTGGATAATATTGATTCACCAGAGGGCTGTTTGGGATTATATCAGACCACACCCAACCCACTACCTCTCAGAGTCAATCTCCTGGTGGTACCTCCTAAATAATCTGCAAAAGCCTAGCCATCTTGAAATTGTGCTACAAATTCAAGGAGTTCAGGATGCCGAACTGCATCATAGGCCAGATTGCATACATTTTGGGACTACAAAATTACACAAGCATATTTTTGGAATGATATCACTTTTTTCGACAAGCTCCAACCAACTCCCTGCCCAATAGTTCTCTGGTCTGATAATTCTAATTGCAGAGGGAAAATTGCTTCTCTGCATTCTGGAATCGGGGTAGGATACAGCCCATCTGATTGTCCATTTTCTCACACCATATCCAATGATAAGAATTATAATGCAACAATTCTGTTAAATAATGTTAAAGAGTCAGTTGCACTCACATCTCTTTAGAAACACCAGCCAGCCACAGAGATAGCAGAGTTCAACCTATGCTTAGATGGATATGGTCTGAGAAATGCACTATTGAAGCTGGAAGTAAAAAGAACCATTTCTTGCTATGAATCACTTTATTGATGAAAGTCATTGCGAAACGTGCTTCAAAAGTGTTAGGTGTGATTCCTGGACTTCCACAAGGAAGGGATAGAGGAAGCACCTTCGAATAATATTCTGTTGTCTGCTCTTCGTTACAAAGGATTGACTGGAATTTATATCAACTGCATTTTTCAACCTCAAGTTTGCAGTACGTTAGAAACTTAAATAGGCATGCAATTGTAGAATTAAAGAGGGAAACAAATAAATGCAAACTGTCCACGTAATTACTCTCTTCACGCCTGTTGTTTAGCAATAAGACATCAAAAGTTACGGGATAAATCATCTCTGTTGGATTCTCATCTTCGTTCTAATAAAAATTATTCAATAAACTTTTTTCAGCAGTTTTTAATCTCACTGACATATTAGAAAATTAGGTTCTGGAACTCAACATTTCATAGATTTACTCAACATTACAATGATATATAGTTGTGATCGGAGTCGATAGGTTATTTACGTACAATGTCATGCATTGAGCAGCTTGTGCTCTTTGTCAGTTCGTCCAATAGCATCTGGGTTTGATAAAGGATCCAAGTCAGCAAAAAGGTTAAACCATGTAGACAGGTCCGTTGGGTTTTTCTGAGGAGCTGTAAACACAAAAAAAATTTCAATGTTACCATGGTGCCTGACAACACACACATGGTTGCAATACTGGATTTTGACTGCAAAACATATCCTTGTTTATTTGGCAGAGAAAGCTCAGATTCTTGCTGCATCTATGTTCAACATGATCTTGATCAGAAAGAGCAATTTGCTAAGTACAAACCAGAAGCCTCTCGGCAGTCAATTACCAGCCTGTAGTCAAATGTCGTGCATCAACAACTCACAGGTCAGGATCACTCCTAAACAGCTTACTGTTTGTTTAAAAAATGCACATTATACTAGTCCCAGAATAAGTAATAAAACACTGTTTTGATTCTCAATGTCATCCAAACGCAGGCATTATAGAAAGGAAAAAAACTTGCATTTTTAGAGCACTTTATCACACTGAAATGTTTCAAACCGTTTCACAAATAATTACTATTAAAGTGTTTTTTGTAGGCAAATCTGGCAGCCATTTGTGTCAGCTTTGCAGCCCTGCCAGCCTTTTGTTTTTCAGGTTCCCATTGCAAGTTAGATATTTTGCTGTTTTGTTCTTTAGGATTTCGGAAGTGAAGGTCATGAATAGCATTTGCCTACAAATGCCTAGTCACTACGTTTCACAGTGAAATCCTGTGAGGCGCTTTGAGACATCTTGACGATGTGATAAGACGCAGCATCAAATGCGAAGATTATTAAAATACGGCAGGTGATAGGCCACAGGGAGGAGACAGCATTGGACGAGGGACCTTCACCAGCACCTAGATTTCCTCCAAAACTCAATAAAGTAGAACATCAACTTCTGATCCCCTCACTAGATCAGCCCACTTTTCTTTTTATAATGTTTGTTTTTTCTTTCCCTTACAGTATTAACTATTCCAAGACTGACTAACAAGGGACTAACAAAGACTCACTAATGGACACGTCAGGCCTTAGACCTGCATTAAACCGGCTTTCAAATTATGACTGAATTGAAGAATTTTCCACAATTAAGCACAATCGTAAATTTTGAGACAATTGTATTAAGATTAGGACCAGGAAAATTCAGAAGTGCAAACTCTTCAGGTCAGCTTTTGAGCACAAACATCATCCATGAAGATACACCGACTGGCTGAACCACCCTGCCTGTATGTACGTCTGAGGAGAACAAAAAAGATGCTGGAGTGAACAACAACAACAAAATTACATTTGTAAAGTGCCTTTCACGTTGGGAGGACGTCCCAAGGTGCTGGACAGACAGAGTATCGGACCTGAGCTGGGGGTCTGGGTCAGGGAGGGTGGAGGGCAGAGGGCAGGGTAGGAAAGCAGGGTGATTGAAAGGACGGTCAAAGAGGAGGGTCTTGAGATGGTCTTGGAGGAGGCAAAAAAGGGGGCGAGACGAAGTGACTGCGGGATGCAGTTCCAAAGGGTTAGGGGCAGAGTGGCAGAAGGCATGCCCGCCAATAGTGGGGCGAGCGAGGCGGGGGACGTGAAGCAGGCCAGGGCCTGCTGAAGTGAGAATAAGAAAAAAAAAGTCCAAAAAAGGGACATAAAAGGCAAACAATATATGACGATACCAAGCCCTTTCATGTTGTAGATGTGTTTCACAACCCGATTACAGACCTGAGATGAGAATGATTTTAATCAAAAAAGTATGATCATCACAACAAATCCCTTCATGCCCTGGCACCTCGTGACCTCTCTGACCTGCTTACTCCCCACTCCCTCACCCATCACCTCCGCTCGGCTGGTTCCGGTCCCCTGCTTGTCCCCTCCACCATCGGCGTCTGAGCTCTCAGCCACCATGCTCAGAAAATCTGGAACACTCTCCCTCAATCCCCCTGCCTTGGCCCCATTTTCAGATCACGTCTGAAGACTTTCCTCTTCGACCATACCCACGGTCACCTCCTACCTCTGCTCGGCTGGTTCAGGTCGCCTGCTTGTCCCCTCCACCGCCGGCGTCTGAGCTCTCAGCCACCATGCTCCGAAAATCTGGAACATTCTCCCTCAAACCCTCCCTATCGTTGCTTGGAGTCAAATTCCATCACTGTTAAGTGCTCCAAGACTCTACCCCATGTGAATGACATGATATAAATGTAAGTTTTTGCTGGGTTTTTTTTGATTACCTTTAAGTGGGATCTTACTGAGGTTCTGGGTGAGCCCATTTACTTGCTCGGTTGATTGGAATATGAACTGAGATGTGGCACCAGCTTCCGCCCAACCTATTAACAAATCAACATCAATGTAACATTAGTTCCAGACCATATTCTCTCACTAACCAAAAACTGAGACATAATTCTAAACAAACTCAGGTATAATAAGAGTATGCGCATTGGTAAAATACCAATATCAATTCAAAACATTGTTTCCGAAATTGAGGTCTGGTTATGTATCATAGCTCATCTCTAAGCTGCAGTACTTACTTTCAAATTATACTTACTTTCTCAAGTATATTTCCCAAAACTTCACTTATATTCATGGGGAAAAAAACACATTATGGGAAAAACTGTGTCATACTGTTCCTAGAAGACAATCGCTTTCAAATAATTTTTTTTAATAAATTTCACCCGCATCAAACCAAATTGCAATTTAGTCTTGATAATAAATATTAATCCTTTCATTTGATTTAGTATCTCATCACTTCAAGAGAACGCTAAGAGATTCTGTAATGTGTAGTGAAGATGAACACAGAAGCCAGTTTGTGTACAGCAACATCCTACTAGTGAATGACCAATTCTTTTATATGAGGGATTGTTGGCAAAGACATTGGGTGAAACTCTTTGCTTTTTGAAGAGTGCTGTGAGATCTTTAAAGTTTACCTGAACAGGCAGATGGGACCTGGGTAGAGCAGCTCACCCGGAGGATGGCACCTTTGACAATGCAACAATGCAACACATCTCCAGCACTGTACTGAAGTGTCAGCCTAGGCTGCAAGCTCAAAGACCTGTGTGTGTAGACAAGGATGGGGCTTGAAACCACAATCTTCTGACTCAAGAGTTAAGAGTCCTACTAACTGAGCTTGGCTGATACCAGAATGAGCAAGACTCTGCATTACAATAAGTGAATTCTGAAGTATGCTAATGGCATGACTGAAGAAATGTATGAATTTAATAACTTCATGTTAAATTATAGACCATGAGCAAATTATTCAAAACACTGCTGCATTACAATTCTAGGAAGAGGTCAAATGGGCAGGTTTATAACATTAATCATTCTGCAGCTAGAACCCTCACTGTGCTTGTTTGAATAAATGTCTGTTTGCCTAGTTTCGCTATATCCATATGTTTTTAGCCTGAACTGGTTTTAACTTGTTAGTCTCTGTAACTTATTTTCTTACTTCAATTCAGATCTGAATGCTAATTAGAAACAAAATACACCAGACATCAGGGCTGTAAAAATCCTCAAAGGGCACACTTCTGTGCATGTACATATGTGTGTGTGTATGTGTGTACTTTTTAACGTTAGTTTGCTTTACAGTATTTTCAAATAATAGTTTGGAGCAGAATATGCTCCAATCCTTAAAGCCACGTAATACATTTTTGACAGGTGTATTAAATTGAAGAAACAGAAATACAGGCCTGAGAAAACAACTCAATATGCAAAATGTTTCCATTCAGAGATCTGTTGAGAAGGTGGAGGCAGAGTCCATTGTGGGTTTTAATAATAGTAATAATCCTTGCATTTGATATAGCGCTTTTCACGTCGGGAGGACGTCCCAAAGCGCTTCACAGAACACACTGTAAAGTGAATTGACTGCATATTTGTGGGCAAACGCAGCAGCCAATTGTGCACAGCAATGTCCCACAAACAGTCGTAGATTGAAAATGACCAATTTATTATTGTTTTTTGTTTTGGAGGGATTATTATTAGGCTCTGTGTGGAGTAAGGAAACTTGCCCAAGGTTTCGCCCTCTGCCTGGAATTGAACTCAGGTCTCTCACTTGCAAAGCGAGTGCTCTAACCACTGAGCTACAGGACAACAACAACAACAAGATTCCATTTATAAAGCGCCTTTCACGTCAGGAGGACGTCCCAAGGCGCCGCACAGTTGGGTCATGACCCGAGCAGGGGGGAAATGGTCAGGGTGAGGGGAGGGAAGGGAGGGAGCGAGGAGGGGGAAATGGTCAGGGTGAGGGAAGGGAGGGAGCAAGGAGGGGGGAAATCGTCAGGGTGAGGGGAGGGAAGGGAGGGAGCGAGGAGGGGGAAGAGAGTCGAGAGGGGAGCTGAAGGCACGGTCAAAGAGAAAGGTTTTGAGACCGGCCTTGAAGGAGGAAAGGGAGGAAGCGGCGAAGGCACTGGGGGATGGAGTTCCAGAGCCTCGGGGCTGAGAGGCTGAAGGCCCGACCACCGATGGTAGGGCGATTGGGGCGGGGGATGTGGGCAGACCGGAGCCAGAGGAACGGAGGGTACGGGCAGGTAGGTAGGGGGATAGTAGGTCGGAGAGGTAGGAGGGAGCGAGGCCGTGAATGGCCTTGTAGGTGAGGATGAGGATCTTGAAATCAATCCTCTGGGGGATGGGGAGCCAGTGGAGGCGAGCGAGGGTGGGAGTGATGTGGTCCCGAAGCCTGGTGCGGGACAGTACACGAGCTGCAGAGTTCTGAATGACCTGCAGCTTGTGGAGGGAGGTGCCGGGAAGGCCGGCGAGGAGAGAGTTCCCATAGTCCAGCCTTGAGGTGATAAAGGCGTGAACCAGGGTTTCTGCAGCGTGAGGGGTGAGGTAATGCCATAGTCTGGCGATGTTCCGGAGGACTCCACAAAGAGGAACATAGGCAGATATATGAAGGACCGAGAGTGGTATGGTTATGCTAGCAGGTTATGCTTGAAGGCTTAGTTGATGAAGGACAGGAGGAGGCTCATGTGGAACATAAACACCGGCATAGACCAGTTGGGTCGAATGGCCTATTTCTGTGCTGTATATTCTAATGTAATCTAATGTATGGGGATGAGGCAGGGAAGTGTGATTGAATGTACACCTTGGCCCTTTTGTTATCCTTTTATTTCTTCCTTGTTCTTCTGTTTCTTACATTGTTAATAATAATCCTTTCATTTGATATAGTGCTTTTTACGTCCTTTAGACGTCTGAGGGTTAATACGGGATTGTGAGTATAAACAGACAAGCTGAGCTGCTCCTAGTACTGCTACCAGTTACTCGGTTTCTAACAAGTGAGTAATTGCGGTGATGACTGAATATCCCTCTTTATAGGAAGGTCCAAGAACTTCTGTGACAGTAGCATAGGTGTGACTGAGGAATTTGATGGGAGAGTCCACTTCTTTGCCACCTTCAGCATGCTAATTGCTATTAATTGCAATTAATAATGCTAAAGGACTGGATAAAAGATTAGCAATAACATATGAAGGAACAACTACACTTTATTATAGAAGGTCATTGTCTGTAAATTGCTGAGTGCTGATATATTTAAACAGTAAATGTTGCAGTTAAATTATCCAATTACTTAATTATCCAAAGAGCCACAACACTTTACTGTATATCCTGTGAAGTGTTTGGAGACATCTTCCTGACTTGAAAGGTGCTGTATCAAATGTAATGATTTTAAATTTTCTTTGTTAAGGGCATTTTGATTTTCTTTGCTTTTACTTTGTTTCCTTACTTGTAAAGTTCCATAGGTCATTCTTTGGTACTAGCCTTAAATAAGCACGTGCGAGCCCCAATGGCACGCTGCCCTGCTACTGTATCAAAGAAGGATGCAATTTTTCTCCTAGATATATTGGCCTCCTCATCCAAAAAATTCTAATTAATGATCTACTCATCTTATTGTTTATAGGACATTATTGGTGCAGATTATCTGCTGTATTTGCTCTTGTAACATTGACTTTTAATTAATCAAATTTCATAAGGAACTTTGAGACTTTCTTATAAGAATTGTGCTGTACAAATACATTCTGTTTATTATTAAATCGGGGACCCCCTGTCCTATGATGGTTATTGAGACAAACACTTGTTACAGACATTTAGATAGTGTACAAGACATATGCCACTTAGTTAATGAACCCGATTTTTTCTTATTCAAAACACGATTGAAAAAAAGTTTCTCATAATAAAACCTAAATATAGCAACAATTCATTCTTAAGAGCTGATAGGAGGTGGGTTTCATCTACCTATTGTTTTTGCAATTGCAGTGGTAAACAGCAGAGGAAGAAGGTAAATATGTCCCTCTAACTTAGTCATTGGTGCAGATAAATTGGTGGGCTAACAGTTTTTAAGTGAGAAAACATAGGTTATATATTAATAATTCCTTCATTTGATTATGTTGTCAAAACACATATCGCTTGATAGGATTTTATTGTAAGGTGTAGTATACTGTAGGCAAACACAGCAACCAATGTACACACAACAATGTCCCACAAACAGCCAGGAGGTAAATGACCAATTTTATCTGGGGCACTGTTGGTCAGGACACCAGGGAAACTCCATCACAGAGTAACAACATCACAATGAAAACAAGCTAGGAAATAATTAGAAAAATTCCATGTTAAATTTCAAGATCCTTTGGGAAAAAAAATTATAGAGATATGCATATTGGTGTAACAGTTTAAGGTAGTGTGTTACAGCCTTTGTACTTACTAGTCAGTGAAGATGATAAATCACTCAAGTTTTTGTCAAATAGTTGTGATGGAAGGAAGCCTGGAGCAGCCGCAGATTGATCAGATTCTCCAGCAGCTAGATCGGTAGGAAGACTGAAAACGTCATCTCCAAACACGGTCTGCCATTCCTTGCTGAAGTCACCCTCCTCCAGCGAAGAGGCGTTCAGGATTTCATTTAGCAATGCCATTTCATCCTTATCATTTTTACTCAACTCCATGGGGCTGCTCAACAAATCCTCGGAAACTAATTGAAAAAGAGACACTCTGTCAGTACAAAAATTCCAATATCACAAGATTGATTTGAATGAAGAAAGCCCTTCAGCCCATTTAATCTCATCTTTCCAGAATGTCCACATATTCCCATTTCAGCATCAAGGTTTTTTTTACGTAAAAGAGTCCAGTGGTCTTGGCCTCAATCAATACACTCACAACATAAGCTGCTTTAAGAAAAGTCATTTGTCAGCCACAGTCACAATGTAGAGTGCAAAATAACATTCTAAAATCTCCTGTACTCGTGCCACAATTTAAAAGACTTACATTTATTTAGATTATCTAATTCACAGGAAAGTCCCATGAATTTATTTAGTAAACTCCTCTACATATTCTAATAGATTTTGGGGCGGACTTGCTTGTAAATCCACCCAACTATTTATTGTGACCTCTGCACTCTACAGAAGTATACTGCTTGCAGATCTTGCAAGAGTGAAAAAAGCTCAAAAAATATGACTATTTTGGGGACCAGCTGGATGGACCATTGTCCTTTTCTGGTTCTACACATTCCTGCACACATTCCTATCCACATAGTAATGTGCTTTCAGCAAAGGCATCGTGATGTCCTATTAGATGTAAATCTAATGTTAAAAAGTCATCCTATAATTTGTCTCACTCTTGGTGACATCATCCGCAGACATGGGGTCAACTTCCACATGTATGCGGATGACACCCAACTGTATCTCTCTGCCTCCACTCTTGACTCCAGGACGACTGCTGTCCTGACAGAATGTCTGTCAGACATCAAGTCCTGGATGAGAGCTAACTTTCTTCAGTTGAGCATCAACAAGATGGAGGCTCTCCTGATTGGCTCCCGTCAGCGCCTCCACACCTCAGACACTGACAGCATCACCATCTATGGATGCACACTCCACCTTGCTAAGCCAGTCCAGAACCAGTCCAGGCCACCGAGACTCTCATTCATACATTCATAACATCGAACCTTCACTACGGAAACTCCTTGCTTGTCGGCCTCCCCAACTCCTCCCTCCATAGGCTGAGGATCATCCAAAACTATTCAGCCCGTGTTCCCTCTCGCACCAGGCTCTGTGATGCTATCACCGCCATCCTCACCCGACTCCACTGGCTTCCCATCACACAGAGGATACAGTTCAAGAAGATCCTGCTCCTCACCTTCAAAGCCCTCCATGGCCTTGCTCTCCCCTACCTCTGCGACCTCCCCTACCATCCTGCTCGCTCCCTCCACTCAGCGGGCTCCGGCCTGCTTCACGTCTCCCCCTTGCCCGCCTCACCATTGGTGTGCAGGCCTTCTGCACCCTCTGGAGCTCCATCCAGCAGTCCTCTGCCTCACCCGCTCCCTTGCCTCTTCAAGACCTGTCTCAAGACCCTCATCTTCGACCGTGCCTTCGATCACCCTGCTTGCCCCTCTGCTCTCAACCCTCCCCTATCCCGACCCACAGCTCAGGTCCGAAACACTGACTGTTCAGCACCTTGGGACGTCCTCCCGACATGAAAGGCACTATACAAATGTAATATTGTTGTTATTGTCTTGGTAGACGCAGTCTACTGACATACACAGTCAATCCATTCCACAGTAAATCCTGTGAAGTGACTTGAGGTAGATTGTATTCCATATATCCCCAAATATGCAGGATGGGTGGGAAAAAAGATGTTGGTATATCTTGACTGAGGTTTGCACCCACATTGTGTGTTCAGTTGTTGGTTGGTATTATAAAATAAAAATAATAATCATTGCATTTTTTTTGTCAGCCACACCTGGCTGACAAAACCCATTACAATGCTTAAGTGTACCCAAGTTCCATGCATTCCACCTGTACATGGTGGGATGCATGGAAATTTCAGTGGTATTTATTGGAATGGAATGCACACTCTCCCTGGAGGGTCGCATTCCTGCTCACCAGAGTATTAGACACAAATTGGCAAGATCCAAGGCTTGGGAACCCCAGAGTTTGCATTGGAGTACTGCTGGAGTCTAACCGCTAAATCCAAAATAGGTTGCCACTAGTGTCTGGCAAGCTTTTCTGCTGCTTGACCAGCTAGGACCATTCTACCTGTTAAGGCTTTGACTTGCAGGGTTAATGGGAGCTGAGTGGGAAGAATCCCTACTTCCAATGAATAGTCTGTTCTTCCAAGTTCCGCCGATGAGCCAGGCTGGCTTTGTTGCTATCAACAGTGCCCTGGAATACTGCAGATCCACCTAGTTCAGGAACTGGATTTCTAAGGCCGCCAACAACTTGGATTTATATGCCTCACTCCACACAGGGTAGCATCTTGAAGCGCGTACTCCAGAAGCTTGGCTCAATTCCGACATTGCGTTGCCAAGCATGTCACCTTGAAGTCAGGTCATCTTCTAGGAGACCCACTTACCTCTCCCCCGAGGAGAATAGTCAGTCAGTCATTTGACATCCAAAAAGCAAGGGTATGAACCCTCACTAAATGGATGGTAGGAATTCCCTGTGAGCTAGTGTATTCAGTGTAGTGTCTAGAACATCAAAATGTCCCAAAGGGCTTCACAAATAATTGCTGACAATTGTTGTGACTATTTTTCAAGGCAAATGCAGCGGCCGTGTTTGCACTCAACATGATCCCACAAATAACAATGAAGTGAACAACCAATTTATTTAAAGAAATCTCATCTCAAGGACAAAGCCTCATGTTGGAACTTGAGCTCATAGTCTGGGCTGACATGCAAACGACAAACTGAGGTCCCGCCCGACAGTTTATTCAGGTGCACATTAAAGATTCCATGATACAATTCAAAAAGAGAAGGGAGTTTCTTCTTGTGTCTTGGTCTACAATCTCCCTAAAGAAAAGATTTTATATACATTTTTTTCAAAAGAAACCCACTGTTGAGCAATAACAGCCTATGAAGTCTAGTTAAAACTTAACGAAGCATGAACTGCTGAAGTAACATTAACAGAGAGAAAGTTATGCAACATAAATTCTCCCACCAAGATCTGTTTACTCTACATTGTTACATAAAAGCAGACCAAAGATGTTAACTCGCAGCTAAAATGTATTAACGACAAATTTTCTGATCCTTCCTATTTTCAGTCGTAAGTATGCCTGATTAACAAATAGACTGAATAGATCAGTTATTGTCATGGGAATATTTCAATGCCTAATCTACAGAATCCAGGCAAATGGAATTTGTAGCTTTTGATCCATAATCAATAGTGGTATACAGTCAACGGTATCACTGTAACACAAAGTCCCTTTGTGGGAACCCTACATTTCAGAAGCAGAGGTTGCTCTCTCTGCCCTCCTCAGATCCCATATGAAGCACCATGAATTCTTATTAGATGTTAAAAAGTTGTGCTATAATTGTGTCTTGGTAGATAGTAGTATTTTCTTATTATAATATTGATAAAGTTTTAGCATTTACCAGTCTAATGGAAAGATTTTAGAATTTCTCGATGGAGTGAAGGAATTCTAGTTTCCCGATGCACAAAAAAATGCACAACTAAAATGTTGATCGTTTCATTAGAAAGATGATAAGGAACGACTAGATTTCACACTTGCAATTTCTTATCTCAGTTTCCTTGAGAATAGCTTTTTTGGGGGGGGGAGGGGGTGTTTACAACACTTTTTCTAATTTACGTTGAACTGCAGAATATTGCAGTAGAATTCTGTCTAGGAGTAGCAGAAAAAAGTCACCCAAAATTACTCTTGCCTTCTTCCACCTAACCATTTACACAGCATCATTAGCAGAATCCTATGAGTACATTATGCGTTCGACCTCTCAACTGGAAATGAGAAGACAGTATGGAGAAGACATGGGAAAAAATATAGGAAAAGATTTTAAACATTTTCCTATAACACGTTTTAAATTCTTCTGTAAATTATCATTTATGTTTGCAGCACAGCTGGTTAGGACTGTTTACTTGTTCAATTATTTATCGCAAACAGGTCACCCATTAGGATTCAATTCCTCTTAAAAGTTAGTTTTCTTTTCCTGCCTTTTATTTGTTTCTTTATCTTGTTTTTCCTCTTTCCGAATTAGGCGTAATTTTTGTGATATTGATATCAGATATAAAGTAATTATGAACAAAATTAAGGTCAACTTGGAAGGATAGTCTTCATTAGCTTGTTTTCCTTGGGGGAAGAATTATCATTAAAAATGAATTTAATCCCAAAATTAAATCAGCCCTTTAGGATGTTATTTTCACCTCCAGGTATTTTTTTAAAAAATTCAGATTAAATTGAATTTATTTGGGGGTAAAAAGCCACAAAAGCCAAGCTTGATCAAGCTGTCAAAATCAAATGATGCTGGGAGACTTGCCCTTCTCAATTTTCTTTTTTTTTATTAAGTTTTTGTTCAATTTGACAAGTGTTAGATTGCTTGTGAGTCACAGCTAATGGGGCATCTTCCTGGTTACATACACTGAGAAGTATTGGAATCACAGTTGCTACACTTAGCTTACACTAAGTTGCCATCAAGACTCAAGAAGCAAGCTATCATAAAGCATTCATGGATGGATACACACAGATTTTCTTAAGCCCCACTGTGGGAATTCAATTATTAAAAAAAGGTAGGATGCTGGGAACTGGTCCAAATTAATTGAAGTGGTGATTATTGCATTTGCACCTACTTTAGCAATACAGTTTCCCAGCATCTCTGCAAACATACAGTTTCCCAGCATGTTAAAAAAAAGTCTCTGGTTGTGCTCAATAATGCATCTTTTTTTTAAATGAGCATCAAGTTCATAATTGCATCAGAAGTAATATGGTTATCAATGGTCCTTTGACCCACTGAGGTCCAGTCCTCTGGTATATTAACTCTCCCATCAAAGCAGATGGCGTATTGTAATGGAAGCTATGTGGTTCTAGCTCATTAAACTCCAGCAGTACTCCAACACTCACTATGGGGTAACCAAAACCTTGGCTCCAGCCAACCTGCGTCAAAAACCTTCTGGAATTAGGTAATTGTGTGCTCTCCGTTCTGGACATAGAAATTTCCATTTGTAGGAGGCATACATTTACTAAGACAGC